CACGCGGTCTTCTGATTCCAAATAAGCCAAAGCCTATGACAACCGGAGTCCAAGCCTGACCAAATTGATGATAAACATAACTTGAAGTTTGATTGAAGTACATACATGCATATTATGGATAATTTTTACAAAATAAATAATACTATTATTTGCCCGAGTTGGCAATTGAACCTACTATCTCTGCCTCAGAAGTCAGGATCACAAACCACACAACCAACAGGCAAGTCTATTCAATAGGTTAAAAAATTAAAATGCTCTGATTTCTTGCTCTACTATATATATATACGAGGATACGATATATACGACACGATACGATATATATATACATATTAATGTATCCGAAATAAAAAAGTATCACATCATCATCATCATCTCATCAACAGCATTTAATATAGCATTTATTATAGTTTTATTGCTTTCAAAATATTCGCCGTTATGATCGATGCTTTTTTGCATACGTTGTAACCAATTTTCGTAGCACTTTTACCAATCTGATTATGGTATCGCCAAAACGTGCATTTTGAACGCATCAACAGCCTCTTCGCGGCTCGAAAAACGTTGACTACGTAATTTATTCTTCAGGGTTGGGAATAAATAGCAGTCGTTGGGGGCCAAGTCAGGGCTGTACGGCGGATGACTCGTTAATTCGATCTTTTGATCTTCCAAATACTGAGTTGTTTCGGCCGATGTGTGGCAGTTAGCATTTTTTTTTTTTTCTTAAAAAAGACAACTCCCGCATTAGGAATAAATCCTGTGTCCCGGGGGACTTTACAAACATACATGAAACGGACACAAAGAACACCCAGACTCAGAACAACAATTTGTGGATCACACAAAGTGTCGTCCCATGTGGGGTTTGAACCCACAACACTCGGCGTAGTAGGAAGCGGCGTGGCGACCGCTTAAACCACTACGCCATCCGTGCAGTCAAGATGAATGCATTGTCAAGATGAAGAAGGACTCTGCGTTGTCGGTTATTCTTACGTATTTCTTTAAACATTTCTGGCAAACAAATGGTCGTATACCATTCAGAATTAACCGTTTTACGATCCTCTAGTGGAACAGTAGCCACATGTCAATTTATACCAAGAAAACAAGTGACCATTTGCTTCAAAGCGCTTTTTGAATGAATGACTATTGGTGGGCTCAGCTCATCTTGGAACACGCAAACCGTTGATTTATGTTAAGTTTCAGGACCATACGCATATATCCAAGATTCATGACCTGTGTAGATATTATAGAAAGTTTTTGAAGCACCCTGATTGTACTTTTGTAAGATTTTTTTTACACCAATTGACACGAGCCCGCTTTTGGTCCATTCTCAAGATGTAAGGATTGCAACGTGACAATTTTTTTTTACATGTTCGTGTAATATCTTACATATAAAATTCTCGTGTCACAATGTTCGTTCCCGTACTCCTCCGAAACGGCTTGACCGATTCTCATGAAATTTGTGTGCACATCGGGTAGGTCTGAGAATCGGCCAACATCTATTTTTCATACCCCTAAATGGTAAGGGTGACCCATCCCTAATTTTTTTTTGTTTTGCAATACAACGTTTGCCGGGTCAGCTAGTTTTATATGTACTCCTTATACTTATTCCCAAAGACGTTCTCTACCTCGCGATATGTAACATGATAATCTTGCATTATTAGTTCCTGCACAGCATCAATATTTTGAGGTACAATAACGAATTTAGGGCTACCTCCTTCAAATTCGTCGTGAGCACAGACCGCCCTCGATTAAACGTACTAAAACAGTGATACACAGTTATTTTTGATGGTGCTTCGTCCCCAAAAGTCGAAGTAAGTTGATCGATGCACTATTTCTGAGTTAGCCCTCGCCGAAATTCGTACTAAATCATAGCACGAAAATTTTCACGAGTTAAATACATAGTGATAAGGACACGCAATGTCCAATGTCCAAATAATCAAATGACAGCTACATGAAACAAATTGTATTCTTTAGCCAAAGAGTTCCATTTTTAAATGTTATTATTACTTTTTTAATATAGTTCAATAACTTACCAGTTCCGAATACATAAATAGCAGCCCTCGTATTCACCTACTGATTGTGGAGCCTCAACGGCTCCATATCTACCGAAATGCGGTGATACTCGTATATTTAATTGTCAAGAACCTTGATTTATAAACTACATGAATCATCACATGATTCTAAAAAAGTCTTTAATACAAACCTATATAATTATAACTGCTGTTATTTCTAATTATACAAAACAAGATAGAATTATTGACTTTTTCTTTTTTCATATATTTTTTTTGTTATAATTAACTAACAGATTGGCGCTTTAGGTTAGCGCCATCTAGCGAAATTATGATATACCTCGCTGTACATTGGTGCCTTAGTTTAGAACTTAAAAGTGACATCTATGTTTGAAACATCAAACTACGTACTATTTAAAGACATGCATTTGCATTTTGTATTGCATTTAAATAATAGATGGCAGCAATATAAGTAACTAAAATTAAGTTTTTAAATAACTTATATAATACATGTATAATACTGGACTGACAACCAGGAACTACCAACCAGGTCCATCTGGGCCCGACCCAGTGACCCGCATGCAGTGGCAGGCGGCGCGGAACACCACTTGGTCAGGCCGTAGACCTGGAGATGTTACCCCGAGACCCTAACTGGGGTCTACGAGAAGAAACCACGAGACATGTATAAAATGTAGCCTATATACCCTGAATACAAATTTTAATATATTTAAATATGTCGCTTAACAATAAGGTTCAGTCGACTAGACCATTTTCAGGCCAGTATCTATTAATACCACATTATTATCATAGATGTCGTTAGTTGAGCATGAGAGTTGAGCAAAAATGGTAATAAACTAACGACTGTCCGAACACCTGAGACGCATGCAGCTACTCAGCTGGTCTAGTTGGCAGTAACAAATATAAAGAAAGGTAGTAAAGTGTTACCACAGATAAGACAAGGGTTACTTCGTAACAGATAAATAGCAGGTGCTGCTCGCTACCTAAATTTTTTTTTTATCTAAAGGGCAAGGGTTCGATTCTTAGGTACTAACTGCTACTGTTTGTGTAAATAAATATGTTAACACGCTAGGTATTGACGAGTATTTATAAAGAGCCAACCTTTGTACATATTATATATAAAATTTTGAGTTTGTTTTTTTTAACATGGGTATTTCTTCAGTGACCGTCATAGGGCCACAATGAATGATTTTGATTTTGGGTAATAAGGACCAATTTGACTGCACGGATGGCGTAGTGGTTTAAGCGGTCACCTCGCCGCTTCCTACTACGCCGAGTGTTGTGGGTTCAAACCCCACATGGGACAACACTTTGTGTGATCCACAAATTGTTGTTCTGAGTCTGGGTGTTCTTTGTGTCCGTTTCATGTATGTTTGTAAAGTCCCCCGCGACACAGGAATGTATTCCTAATGCGGGAGTTGTCTTTCATTAAAAAAAAAAAAAAAAAAAAAAAGTAGTTGCAAGAGTTGTACTAAAACGCGCTACTGAGGAAGTTTTTTTGTTATTAATTAATTGTGTCTTAATCATTTTATAATCATAAAATTATTGAGTAAACTGTTTAACCTTTAAATTGTAAATTGAAATTGTAAATTGAACATTTTACTGAAAACAAATTAATAAATACCGCATACGGTCAAAAACTGCAATGTAATTAACCACACCGCCGAAGCGCACGGGGCCTCCCCTCCGGCCGCCAACTTGTGTTAGTGAGCGTAGACTGTTTGCACGGAATACACATGTAGTTATTACTTTTGTGCAATACCTAGGGGAAATGCCCTTTACCTTTGACAGCTGATTGCATAAAAAAAAATTTAAGGAAGAAAATTCCAATGATTTTAAATTTAGAATGATGGTCTGAATATACTATTTCAGTATTCGATCGATGTCCCTTACACCCTGTATAATAATTAAATAGAAAAAAGCTCCATCGCACGGTCCATGTCTTGTTTTTCTGACAAAAAAATAAATGACGCAGCATTGATTTGTCTAGTTTTTCTAATTTTTGTGCGAAAACCTTAACGAGATTAGAATTTTGAATAGTTTTCCATCTGTACTGTAATATTGGATAGGTATTTCGAGATACAAAAAAAATCCTTTTCAGACGTCGGCAATATATTGTTCTAACGGTTCTAGTAGAGATAGAGTTGAAAGTTACAATTATTGTAATGTTTATCCGCTCGTCACTGAGCTTATACCTTTCACTACGAGGGATCGAAAAATTACTTTATGTAAGTCAATCCGCGAACAAAGTACCTACTTAATCCATACTCAATGCGAGTGTGTCTGTCTGTCGGTCTGTCTGTTACCGCTGAACTGATTTAAATGTGTATAAAGATAGTAAGAGTCCCGGGCAAGGACATAGGATAGTTTTATCCCAGAAATCACCTCTAAGGGAGTGAAAAGAGGGGTTAAAGTTTATGTAAGGAATCAATAGATTTAGATAAAATTTGGTTTAGAGATAGTTTGATTGTGGAGGAATAACGTACTTTTTACCGCCATTACCAACATACGCGTGGTCGAAGCCGCTGGCAAAATCTAGTTATATTATAAAACAATGCTAGTGTGACGTCACACAGATGAGCTTGTCAAGGTCAGTATCTAGGCAACGCACCAACAAGACACCCACTTGTCAGCGCGGCTAATGGCCGTTGACCCGTCACCATGGTTACCGCTACTTGTTATCCCAGAAAAGCAACAATAAACACAGTGTAGTGCCGTGGCAGCGGACAGCAGAGCGCGGACATGCGGGGCGCGCCGTGAGCCCGCAGCCCACACGTGTCCGCGGTAATCGCCGCCCGATCGTGGAGATAGCAGGTGAAGGATCGATGTGACGGACGGACAGTTCCATATTCAAATGTGTGTCTGTGGTGACGTAGGACGCACCCGGTGTGCGACGCTCTATGTGCTGCTTCTTGTTGGCCGCCGTCGAGGAGTGCTACTTCCTGGTCGCGAGGGTGTGGTCGAACTGCCCGCGCAAACATGAGCGTGTCTCTACGGTCTATGCTGGTAGAAGGACCGCAAGCGCCGAAGCCCAAGGGGCCGTATACGTATGCTAACACGCCACGTGCACTCTACAACAATGCCAAACTGAAGAAAGACCCGTCTTGGTAAGTACCAGCAGATGTTTGCCGGTCTTACAATAATATTTAGAATAAATATATTTTTCATTTTTGACACTTCAACAACACATTTTTCGGGAAATGACAGTCCTATCTGTCATTACAATAGCATTTGGCTGAACATTTAAATGTGTATAAATACATAAGTGGCTGTATTTTAAGCACGTCGGTAATAATTTTCTCCTTCCTGCGAATAATATCATCCCAAATGTGTTTATTTGAGTGCACCAATGCACCCCCCCTTGGATCTATATGACTTTACGTTTTATGTGTAGGTATTGTGTACATTTGTAAACTGCGAACAAAGAAACAATAACTGTTAATTCTGTTGTATCAACGATGTAGAATAACTATCCCAAACAAACCTTAGATAAGGCTGTCAAGTGCGGTATCTAAACTATAACGAATCTGATTTAATTATACAATAATGTGAAAGATAAAGGTAACAAGATAACGGATCATCACCGCAGTACGGAGCTCGGGAGGTACCAGTGAAAATATTTAAAACTAATGAGCAATAGGTAACCTTAGGTCTTTGACGAGATAGCTATTTGCAATCGGTATCAAGAGCTTGCATTTCAGTAGACAAAAAAATTGTGGGTAGGTTAGTATTTTACACCTACGTAGTGTGCATGATACATATAACCAGAAGACTACGAATTTTTATCAATGTTCATGATAGGTACACATGTGACTCCTTCCTCTCCTCCTCCAAGGAGGAGAGGAAGGAGTCACATGGGGTTCCAACACAAGGACCTCCGCCGAGATAATCGAGCCTACGAGCCTAGCGGACAGCTGACAGCGGTACAACTAGGTATTGATGGGAAGGAAAACTAAAACGAAATAGTAAAATGTTATTAATAGTTTTAATACAAAAATGAATAGTGTTACGGTCTATTGAAAAAGTAGACAATTAATGTATAGTCAATCTATTTGATTTCTAGGCGACCGTAGATCTAGATAAATGACAAAGAAGTCACACCATTCACACATTATCATACTCAGTCATTTCATACATTTATTTTTAGTTTATTTACAACGACCTGCTTATGAGTGTCCGTATCTACTAAGAGACTATATTCAAAGATACACATGAGACTGCAGTACCACCCCAATGGTGAAAAGTTTCCAACATTGGCCTTACTAATGAAACTATTTGTTCTAGTTTTGTCACTGATTTTATTTATGACTAGTAACCCCTTCTTGCGACTCGACCAACCGACTACTGTCCGTCTTAGAACATTATTTTACTAAAATCTCAGCCCACCACTTTTAATCCAGTTGGTGTGTTAATTTGCCATCTCTGCCATACTCGTTGTGACTACTGCCGACTTGTACACCGTATTCGTTATATTTAAAATCAGTCGTTTGAAAAAGATTCCAAAATCGTTTTCCGAAACAATTCAATTTACTGTCTTTCAGTTTTGCTGTGTTGAGAAAACAAAATAAAATCCATTTACTACATTTAAATGTACGTGTAAATACGAGGTATTGGTATTTATCAGATGGAGACTGGTGTAACATTACGATTGGCGATACGATCGCTGCAGTGCGATGCGCACTGCTCTTAATGGGGCTGACCACGCTACGAATAGCATACCTACTAACAAATATCCCTCCTCTGTCAAAACCAACCATAAAATAGACAATTGCATAAATTTATAGAATGATGACAATTTGACGTATAGAAACCCCAGGTCGTCACATTGCAGGAATTAATAATCGGCAATGTCACGAGGTGTTACTGCAGAGTCTCAGGCCTTCCCCTAAAAAGGGGTTCCCTGTAGGAGTCCCTCGGCATGCTTGGGCGCGTTTTACTAACAGGTGACAAAATTGTGATGTACAAGGACCTCGCTGCCTCAAATTCAAAGAGGTTAGCGCGAAACATTGCTCCATCGTTTCGGGTGTACAGAACCAGACTAGTATTACACATAATCCTGTGCGATGTATTCAGATAAACACTGATAATGGCCGGAGATCGTTTTGCACTCTCAGAGGCCTCGAGCTAGCTATCTCCTCTCCACGCTGCTCCTTCGGCTTTAGACAAAGAGATATTGCTTTAGAAAAAATACTACTGCCATCTAGCTATGATAGTAAGAAGAGATAAAACATAAACACTTGGCGGTTTATCTTGACAAACCGAGACTGAGCTGTGGGGTTTTCCTTATAATTTTTGAAGTTGATAAAACCCTTAAAATGAAGCACTCTATCGTACCCCCTGATTGCAAACAGGTATCAATTCGATAACGTCTTTGCTCGTATGGTCCGTGTGGTGACGGATTAAGAATACAGAGTGTCACCATCCCTATTCATCCCGTGGGTGTCGTAAGAGCCGACTAAGGGAAAAACTACGCAGAACAACAGCACTGTAGAGAGAAGGAAAACTTGACACAAACCCTATACCAACCCGTCTGGCCAGCCTGGTATAGTAGGCCAAAACCTCCTTTCTAAGGAGAGGCTTATGTCCAGCAGTGGACTATTAAAGGCTGTTGATGATGATGATAATGATGATTGCTCGTATATGGCGTACTTACTGACTGACAGTCCCATTACTCAACACGCATGTGATGAAACACTTAGTGGTATGTAATACTGCAAATTACAATAACCTCTCTATTAGTATAGTACATACTCTGAGCTCTATCACAACGCCATCCGTGCAGTCGTTAATTGTCTAATTTTTTGCGTCTTAAGAGAGTAATGTTTACATTTACATATTTTCTTTGTGGACGCACTCCAATGCCCCTCTCTCAAAAAAATATAGTTAGAAAACAAATCGTTTAACAGTTATAAGGTTGTACAAATAATGTGTGAACTAAAACAATATGGCGGGTGGGCGCGGCCGAACCACCTTGAACCTTTGATAAATATACAGATAAAGTATAATAAAAGAGAAGGTATATTTGTTTTAACAAATTTAATACTTTTCACGTAAGTATTTCAAAGCATGCAAGTCGTTAGCTCAAACATATTTATTTCATAACGTTCAGTTATTTACTGCCAAACACTTATTAGCTATTATTATAGCTTACTAGCTGACCCGGCAAACGTTGTATTGCAAAACAAAAAAAAAATAGGGATGGGTCACCCTTACCATTTAGGGGTATGAAAAAAAGATGTTGGCCGATTCTCAGACCTACCCGATGTGCACACAAAATTTCATGAGAATCGGTCAAGCCGTTTCGGAGGAGTACGGGAACGAACATTGTGACACGAGAATTTTATATATAAGATTAGATTCGATGTCCTCTTCGGAGAAACAGTCTCGTGCTTATAATTGCCGGGTATTCTCGTCTTGCCGTAAGTACTTGCATAGAAATAACTAAGTGTCAACAACTTGCTCTTAAAAATAACAGTGTGACTGAAGTTAACGATACCGATTACAGTATGTGCCCGACCTACCACTGGAAGAAGATCATGTGATATTGTACCGAGATCGCTCTGTTATCACTAACAGGACTATTGTTGGGGATAAGCCTCATGTAGCCGTAACAGAGCGATTAGAGCACTAATTGTTGATACAACCATTCCCCGCAACGACCCTCTCTTAAACACTATGTAGGATGTGTGTGTGTGTGTGTGTGTGTGTGGCAGTCATTGTCTCGATAGTTATATCAATTCATAGGCGCACTATCTAAGAACCTCGACCAGCACCTTCGTTAAGCAACTGCAGTACTTCTCGATATCAGAGACAATAGAAACCTCACAATACATGTAAAAAATTAAGAGCTAAAGAATACAGGTTTTTGTAATTTAATGATCGGGGCACGTTGAAGTCAGGTACCCTTTTATTAAAAGGTTATTTTATTTCTTTATTTGGAAAGTTAACAGCTATGTTATATATATAATGGGTGAAGTTAAACATTTCAATGGACTCTTAGCCAATAATAAAGAGCCTGCACCACCAAAACTGCGTGTACCACTTAAACATAGGCAAAATTTCTAATTTAGGTATATTGGGTGTATTGTGCAGAGTGAGAAGTATTCCAAAATAAAGCAACTTACAAAAATAATCTTGATTTGGATTCACAAGTATGATTGCAACCTTTTAGTGATTTGTTTTGAGGTGGAAGATGCCAATTTCGTCAAAAATATCATTGTAACAGCTAGGCATGCGAGTGAGAACAGCATTCTTAGCATAATTGGTGTGGTGTAGAGGAATACTGAACAGGCGCGTATGTCTAGTACGAGCCTTGGGTGCATTCAAGCTAATATTAGAGAGAAGGTCGATACTATCAATTTCACCTCGAATAATAGCGAATAAACAGCTCATGTCTAGTAACACACGCCTCCGAGATAGAGGCAGTAGATCATAGTGCCTACAGTCGTCAAGATATGATAAATGTCGTCTTCTTGTCTTGAAGTTGCATTGACTGCACGGATGGCGTAGTGGTTTAAGCGGTCGCCTCCTATTACGCCGATTGTTGTGGGTTCAAACCCCACATGGGACAACACTTTGTGTGATCCATAAATTGTTGTTCTGAGTCTGGGTGTACTTTGTGTCCGTTTCATGTATGTTTGTAAAGTCCCCCGCGACACAGAATTTATTCCTAGTGCGTTGTCTTTTAAAAAAAAAAATTGATGTCTTAAGAAACGGTTTTGAATTCTCTCTATTTTATGTGTGTGTATAATATATTTATTAATTAATAAGTTAATTAAATTAATTATTAATAGAATGTTAACTAGAGATCTTTTGGTGGTCAAATTTCACCTCTTAAGTGTTTTTTTGGTCAATCTTCGTCATTAAAGTAGCATGCCCTGTCAACATGTACACTGGTTGTAACACACATTGTTTAAACATAACGTTCCTCATCAGTGTAGGTACTAAGAACTATTTACATCACTTTTTGTAGTATATCATCGATAAACTTGGCCAAGTGATTTTCAATGGCACTTTAAATGAAACAAATGATTTGACATTCTTATGTAATAATACAGAGGTAGAACACAGATAATTTTCGACCTCTGTTCCGCTAGTCCTCGTCAGGTACTCTCTCCACAGTTACGCTCTCTATTTGGAGGCGAGCAAATGGTTCTTCCCTCTGGAGAGCCGCCTCTGAACACGAGGTGTAAAAGTGTATCAGATATACTACAAAGCCATTTAATATATGCAAAACCTGTCGAATGTTAGATTTATGTAAAGGTTTATAATAATTATTATTATAACCTTACACATCCCACACGAAGCCGTATGATCCCAAACTAGGTACAGCTTGTGCTATGGTAACCAGACTACCAATAAACATACCTACTTATATATTTTTAAACACATACATGTACACAAATTACACCTAGACAAAGAACAAATTATCGTGCTAATCACACAATCATTTGTCCCTGGTGGGAATCAAACCCACGACCTCTGGCTAAGCAGTCCAGACCTCGTGACCTACAGTGCCGTCATTAAGGCCGTTATGTTCAATCTCCTAAAGTTTTATTTCAATCGCAGCAGAAATAAATCCTAATATATTTATTATGAAACTTGTAAAAATATTTGTCCAAGGTGAGATCAATGTATGTGTACAGTAAATATAAAACTGCTAAGGATATTTAAATCGAAGCGCCGGCGGTACCTCTCGGGGGCAACGCCCTTAACCTTGAGGGTTGTGAGCTGACCGGCGCTGACCGGCGCGGCGGCGGCGGCGGCGGCGGCGGCGGCGGCGGCGGCGGCGGCGGCGGCGGCCCGTCGCCTAGCGACCGACGCCTCAACTTCCGCACTCCACACCTTACAGGCTACTGTTGTTTTAGTTTTATAATCATTGTATCGCATACGTTTATCGACCGTTCACTAACCACACTCTGTATCTGAGGCTAAAGGATACCGTTTAATATTTAAACCATTGTGGCATAAAAAGACTTTACAAGCAACTACAACAGAAGTCAGGGTCGTGCTCATGTAAGACACTCGGTGTAAAAGAGAATATTAGACTCTTTTTTTTTTCTGTGCGGAAATCCCCTCGGATACCACCCAACGGGGTAGTTATATCGGACTCAACCACAAATCGAACGCCGTCTCGGGTACCAGTTGCCGGGGAACCAGGTGTAACCTTTTAAGGAAAACCCTGATACCCTAACATACCTCGGGCCATCTATGACGTGTCAATGACCCCCTCATGTGTGGGAACCCCTATGTCCCCTTTGTGCTCCCGAAAGGGGGGGCGCGTTTCGCCACCACCCCGACCTGCTTCTGCTAGGGTGACAGATGAACTCACCTACCACCCCCAGGCCTACGCTTATGGAAGACGGAGGTCATTCTGCGACCAACGGCGCCTGAGTCGTCTGCGGTACCTGGCCCGTTGCCGGGCCTAGCGCTCCGGGAGAGTTCTAAACCTCTCCCGATCTCGGTCTGCCATCTCCTTTGCAAGCATAACTTGCTCACAGAAGGAGACGGCGGAGTGCCACGAACTCTCGCTCCATACCATGGCGGCAATCATGTACTAAAAAAGACCCACAGTAGAAATAGCGAACAAGACAGAACATATGGTGGCTAATTTAAATGTTTTGAAATGGTAACGTAAATTCCTGTATAATGTCGACTGCATAGCAATTTCTGTTTCTTAATATGCTTATAGCAGGCATAGTAGGTGCTAGCAGTCAATGCACTTTACCAAATCAATCCTGACCTGCAGTACAGTACAGCGTTGCCACAGCGTCGAACTACAAACGAAGTTCGTTTAAAATTCGACGCTACAGGTAACAGTGTCGAATTTCAAACCAAGTTAGTTATTACCTTAGAGAATAGCACTGCTGAACCAAACTGATCACGGTACAGTGCTAATCAATTTCATAGCAGCACGCAATGGCATCATTGGCTTAGAAGATCCCTACGGACCTGTTGGTCTAGTCACTGATCACTAGACTGCTGAGCCAGAGGTCGTAAGTTCTATTTCCTACCAGAACTAATAATATGTGTTGACCGCGATAGAGACAACAAATACTATGTCTGGGTGTATAACTATACTGCACGTATAGCGTAGCGGTTTAAGCGGTCACCTCGACACTTCCTACTGCGCTGAGTATTGTGGGTTCGATTCCCATATAGGAGAACACTATTGTTGTGCCGAGTCTGGGTTTTCTTTGTGTCCGTTCATGTATGTTTGTATACCCCGCGACACAGGGTATATTCCTAGAGGGGGAGTTCTTTTTAAGAGAAAAATAAACAATTAATTGGGTATGTTTATGAGCATTCAGTTTGGAATTAGACGACTGTAAGTGAGATGTTCGAAACTGTTACTTTTATTATTCCTGTAATATATCACAAGCTTTTGCTTAAACCTTCGCTCGCGTTATATATCTCGCCTATATATCGCGTATGTCCCTTTCTGGGCGCCTACCATAATACCAAGTGTAGAGCAGCTCAACTTTACAGGTAACCTGACAGGTTTTCTACTTGTACCATGACCCTATTCGGCTGACTTGCAATATATTAATTTCTGACCTGAATAAGTATCTCTGGTCAATTTGGCAATAACACACACATATTAATGTCATAATCCAAACGTTCTAAAAAACTTCTCGTATCATTGTCGGTTTACAGGTTTTATAAACCTAGAATATAATCATTTAAATAATCCTAGCTCAATTAAATATTCAAGTACTTTTAACAAACTTTGTTTGTTTTGATAGAAACAAAGAGAAATAACATCTTCTGAGACATTGGGATGTAGGAAGTGAAGCAGTATTTTGCAAAACAACTGGCAGAATCAACTGACGTATGATTGTCATGTACTATTATTAATGGTATTTATTTAGGTATGTATGTATTTATGTAAGTTTATATATATATATATATATATATATATATATAAACTCGATTGATGGTTGATTTATGTATATGTATGTACGTATGTATTATGTATATGGGTTCTAGTGTATGATAGGTTTATGTACGCGTATTTGATATTATAACTACTATCAAACTTTAACCAAAATGCACCTACTTCCTGTTCTGTCTGCATCACCCAAAGGTTGACTGGTAGAGAATGCCTTAGGCATTAAGTCCGCCAATGCGCCAAAAGTGCATGATGTATGAATAAATAAATAAATAAATAAATAAATAAATTGAAGTGTCTGTTTGTAATGTCAAAATTATATGTTTTTTCATGCTTACACGGTTATTTGCACGATACTTATGCCTAAAACCCACTGTCTGTTCCCGGGTAAGATTCTAAACGGCTGAACCGATTTCGATAACATTTTACTACCAGGTAGCTGTCTTCATTAGAAATAACTTTGCCTTTCAGAAAAACCCTTTAAAATTTTGCCCCGTCCACCCACTAAGGCAGCGCTTTTCAAATTCCACGCGAACGAATGCACACACTAACCCAAGACGGGATAGTGTGTGCATAAAATCAAAAGAAGATCGGTAGAGTAATCGGAGTAATTTGCAATTATGAATTAATTACGAGTCTGCAGACAATATCACCTCATAGTGAAGTCTCCACTAAGCGAATAATCATTTTGTGTTGTATAATAATAATAATAATAAAGGAAGATTATGTCTGACTGTCACCATACGGTGTAGCACAAATCACAATAAAACGTGGTTGCTGTACCAATCGTTTTCAAATTGATAATTGGAATTGTAATACTCTTCTATATTTATGTAACCCTAAGGGTGCAAGATGATACGGACTGGATACAGTAGATTTCAGTTAAAATTGTAGTGGCCCGAGTGGTGTATTACGTTACCCCGTCCTACAGAAGCGGATCATTGATATATCTGTTGATAAATAGGGTCCAGGCCAGAGCTCGTCAAAAGGTCTATTACCATTGGATGAGCGGCAGGCGCGATATGTTGACATTGATAATTGTTGGTAAAATGTATAATTGAACATCAATCGAACCCGATGACGATGTCTGACGGTGATTCGTCTAATACCCACATCCCACAATGAATGTTTCCACCACTATGTATGTAGGACCCTACTCGTTTATACTACTATTCTGCTGTGTTCTGGATTCTAACAGACATAATTAAATAGCACTTGTGGTATGCGGTGTTCTGACCCAGTTGAAAAAATCTCGTGTTATGTCCTACATTCTGTTAGAACCATTTTAATTGACTGTTAAATATTTGGTCCGGTATTGAGTTCGTTTCGGTGCATTCTATTCCACGTGACATTCCGAGACTGCTGAGCTCAGCCGATTAACGGGGTTGCGTGCACTGCTTCATATTCGGCGTGTTATGTATCAAACATGTACTAGCGACCACCCCCCGACCCCCGCCCCGGCTAATGAGTTACGAGTGACCCCTGAGCACCCTTGCACTGAGGTTATGCTGTTGAAGAATCGATGAAATAAACATAAATATGAATAGCACTCGTATTCTGTTGTTACGATCTTACATAGTACTATTGTAACTGCGAAGCCTGTCAACTGATTTAGGTGAAAATCTATATTAACAAGTGAACCCGCGGGAAAAGTAGCAGAGTAGCAGTGCAAGTGTCCTTGAGTAAGGGCAATGGCTTACAAATAAAGGACGTTAACTAACATTTGTAATATTAACTTTCATTTTTCTCTCTTTTTTTACATTGTTCTAAAGTTAAATTTGAATTTAGATTCAAAATTGTTTGGTCGTAGATGGGCCGTAGCAGTACCGTAGCCCGTAGCGTGCGTCTACGATTATTATTATGTAAACGGTTTCTTGACGCACATCCGGAGTGTGTCAGGTTTGCGCCCAACACTTGAAGGTCAACGTGTGTTAACAGCACACCATCGCTCATGAAACACACTGACCACTACTTAGAGACGATAAAAACACAAAAGAGTCACGCAATTCCAAGCACAAGTAATTATTTACTAGAAATTAGAGGCTAGATTTAGATTTTCTTGTAACTGATAATGTAAAAAAATTATAGTAGACTGTTACTAAATACGGTTCATAAAATAATATCTTTTTACATCAATACACTTTACATTAAATTAAATTTCTAAAAACAATCTTATCTCGTGAGCAAATAACAATTACGTAACTCCTCTAACCCAAGAGACAATCACTCAAATACCGTCATCAACGGGTCCGCTTATCGCTGAGATTATTAAATAGGACATCTACCAGTTTACAAATCAATATTTCTTAGTGGTAATGGATTAAAAATAGTAGTAACTAATAATAGTGGTTTGCATACGTCCTCGCAATGTTATGATCAGACTAACACTACCAGAGCACGTGTCGGCTCCCACCACCGCGGCACCGGTGGGCACGTGTCGCGTTACACACGCGCTCCTCTCACGCACACTTGATCTACGCTCGCGCTGAAGCTCTGTAAGCACATTGAATTGAATGATGCCATTAGACAAGCCTACCAACAATATCCCCAACTAACAGAGACTTAAGTAGGGATTATAATAGCAGTTAAAGTAAAATTACTACGTTTTATTCCATTAATAACATGTAGATATTAAAACAGACTTTGGTTTTTGTACATCCTCATAAACATAGGTATAGACACCAGGCGGTAGGGAACAACAATACTCTATTATTGACTCACCACACGTAGTCTCATGACCTACTGAAAAATCGTAGTGTCATGTCATGTCATTCAAATTAAATAAACTATTTCGATGTGAGTCGTTGTCGCGAAGCATTCGTTGAAAACAGACCAGTGTTTACCCTCATTGTATGGTCCACGTGGGCGCTTGCGCGATCTTCTATACCGCATTAGTAGCCTGGCGGGCGCGTAAAACGACATAAGTGTACGTGGCTGAGCGGCGCTTACGTCCCACAGCTGCGTGCGAGCGACGCCGACTGACCACCGGCCGCTCCACGCCACTCAGTAATCGTTAGCCACCGAGGAGGCCGGTCGTACCGCCAGCGCCACGACCCGTCACACACGCGACGACGGCTTCCGCATCGCTCGCAGAAAATCAACGACACCATGTAAAACATCGTCATGCCGCCTGCGCCGCCTTCTGAGGAGTCCAGCGCCTTCACGATTATCAATCATGAAGAGAGCGGCGCGAACGAAACGAAACCGAACCTGGTGGACAATGAGCTCGTGCTGCCGCTACCGAGCAACGTGAATATAGTAAAGCCTCTCCAACTCGATGATGAGTGCAACGTTAAGCCGGCGGCTCCTGCTCCCAATACGATACTCGACCCTAAGTTCTCCCGCGCTCTTGACTTTAAACTACGGAGACTCAAAGAGAAGGAAATACTACAAGCGAACCTTCGGCGGCCGACTCGTTACCGTCCACGAAACGGTATACTCGCCGCTTCTAACCCCAACGTGAGCTCTGATCAGCAACCGCCGTCGGATAAACCGCTGAGCCAATCACATCCTCGCATCGATCATATTGAATCTGAAAACGATAAGAAAGTTTCGCCCAATATGGACAAGTCACCGGAACGTAAGAGCCGATCTCGAAACGCGCCGTCATCTACGGACGGAGACAAGCCGCGATTCGTGACCACAGTGAAGAGTGGACAATTTTTGCTGCCTCCTCCAGAAGTGGCACGTATTTTGGGTCTAGAGACGCTGTACCCTGCTAAGGAGAGGGAGAAGGTTATGTACTCATACTCGAGCAAACCGAAAGTAGTTGCTCCGCGCGTCAAACGCTCAATTCTGGAAAAGAAACCCGAGGCGAGCTTACCCAATGGCGACGTGGTAGAGGGTGCTCGGCGACCTCACGCCAGGGAGGTGTTCGGAGGCGTTCGAGCACTCATCGCTGGCGTCGTAGGCATGACACACATGCTCGAGAAACATGACCAACCGTACGTGTCACGCAGTGCCCCTACATTCAACCACAATATTATTAGTATTATATATAAATTACTTATATTTTAGCTATAAATCAGCGGCTTATCTCTGAAACACAGTCTTGGAGGCGAAATCTGAGATATATTGTCAGTAATTTATAAATCGTCACATACTCGTAGTGTCGATCTTTTGTCCTGAAGGCCCAACGTATTCTTAGAAACGCCAGGAATATATTACTAAAGTGTATTAGTTTAAATTAATAGAATTAAATAATGGGTAGCGGTGGGAGGGTGGCCCCCTGTGGTGGCGGCGGCGATCCGCCGTCCCACTTGCCACGAGGTCAGCAACACGGGCCCTGCTTCCGCTCTGCTCTGTTTAGTTATCGTATCTTCTATTACTCTTCATTAGAAGGAAGCCTCCAAGAATAAACCCTAACCCAAATTTCACAATTTCTCTTTCTGTCACAAGTTTTTAACATAAGCTATTTTCGATTTTCACAAGGGTCAGTATTTAGTAAGTGGACTAAATGCACTGTTGTGTGATTTGAAAAAAAATATGATTAGAAAACCTACTGGAATTCTTAGAACCGATACATATTCACCGAACAAAGTAAACATACCGTAGATCACTGTAGCCTATGCCTATTCGTTGTCTATAATCTATCTCTGTGTCAAATTCTATCCAAATCAGTTCAGCCATTCTGGCTTGATCGAATAACAAATTTATTCATACATCTCAATCAAAATCTCGTATTTATAATGGTATTAAGATAATGTTTTATTAAATGCAAAACAAATTATAAATTCTTATAGCAGAATTTCAGAAATGTTCATCAGTGAGACCTATAATACAATATGTTTCAAGGTAATGTTAGGATTTCGTTTTGACTTTTCCCGATCTGAACAACTGTAATTCGGTTTATCTATTGTATGAGTCTCAGAAGCAGCATTGTGATGAGATTAATGTTACTGCTAGGTGCCACAAACATGCTCTATAGACTGCGCAATAGTGTAGGTGTGAGACACCTATGAATATATCTCACAACTGCAAATCGATTGACCATAATCATCCATTAGACTAGTCAAGTTAAACCGCGGTGTGTTGTGTTTCAGCGGCAGCATCGGCACCACGGGCCAATACTCCAACGTGATGCACGACAAGCGCGTGGTGCGCGGCAGCACGTTCGCCTCTCACCCGCACGCTGCCGTGAGTATCCGCTGTTACCGAGAATCGAGAGGTTGGACCTGAGCTTATTTACATGTACAATTGTTACAGTTCGTGTACATGTGTACTACACGTACTGGATAATCACCATTCTTACCAAACACGACCAGTTGGTTGACTAGTTTAATATAATTCGTTACGTCGTTACCAACAGAAATCGAGTTCACTAGTCGCTGGTAACAAAGTGAATATGTATCTTTATCACATTAATAATGCGTTTAAATGGTATTAGAAGTTAACTTTATAATTACCTAATATCTCGAGTCAAATCTACATTGTGATTTGATTTAGAAATGCTTATATATGGCCTGGTACCATACCAGGCCATATATAAGCATTTCTAATAGTAAAAGTCGAGGAGCTTGGTTGCCTAGCTGTTACTTTCTGTCTTAAGTCACTTGAACCTCCAAGATCACCATTAATAAACATTTTAATGGCTTCTGTCTGAAGACATTTAAATAAAAACTAATAGTTGTAACGTGATTGCTGATGAGCAAAGAAGACTGGCCGCAGAAGAAGCAGAGGATTGTATAGACAAATAACAGAACGCATACAAAGTGACAAACCATTCCGAACACAATTAACGTGGCCCGCCACCGGAGCAACGGTCGCTCGCCCCTAATTAGCTGCTGAAACAATTCTATTTGTAATATTTAGTGCTTAACTGCCTTGTAGCTGCTTAGCGTACTTATTAGTTAGTGACACGACATTCCGACATTTCATAACAGTTCTTTACAAAACTCAACAAATTTACTTACAAAAGTCTCACAATGTTAATACCACTTATAAATAAATGTTTTTAAAACAAACTACTCTCCGCGGAATACTGACATTACTGTAGCAAAGTACAACGATCCTTAATGTTTAACATTTCTGTTACGTCTCAAATTTCACTACTCAGTCGTTGCTTTTTCAATAGCATAGTCTTAGTTTAAGGATAAAATATATTTATATATATAGACAATATGAAAGTAGCTCTAATTCATATTGCTAAAATTAATATTAGAACACAAGTAATATATAACACAAAAAATATTTGTATGTACCAACACTACTTACGTGTGTTAATTATAGCGTGAACAAAACCTATAAAATCACCTCGCGGAGCACTCGATACTCACTTCTCATCTAAACAATGGCGTATTATGTTCCAAACCCTTATACAACCCAAGACATCCTTAATAGATATCATCAATAATAGAAGTTGCTACTTCACGACATTTTGACCTTGCTGTAGGCAGTTGACCACGTGATTCATCAGCCAAGACAATATTTATAAGCATGAGTAATGGTCTGTAATATCTATAAGAACTTATTCCTAACAATCTTTTAAAGCTAAATGATTTATAGTACGTATATGTATATTATCCGATTCTGTTCTATATTTAAAACATAAATAGTTGAGTTTGTCTCTGAGACATTCCTATTACCTACTGTTTCGGATTGCACCAGGTGTTTTACAGGTCGATGAAAAAATATAAAATCTTTGAAACATTGATGATGACGGAATTTGCAACAAGGCCTTTTTACGGAAACACCTACTCCATAATTAACAAATTGGTCTGAGTGGGCCGCTTCGTCAAACAAATTGAAGTTGTAGGACAGAGTTGTGGATTGTGATTGTGAGCGACCTCGCATGAATGCATGTCTTCGATCGGTCGAATGACGCTGACCCCAACAACCGTACTACAAACCCACTTTCGCGGAATCTAATTCACTACGAGTGAGTACTGTGACTTGTAGCTACAGTTGAAATAAACTCTGATTACATCAACCGTGACTTAAAGCGCCAGGCGCCCATCGTGAGGACCTTGACTAGTTGTTTGACACTGCGATCGGAGTTTATCATATGAAAATAATTTACTTCCGACTACATTTAAAGTACACAATGAAAAGTTTATAGTACTACAGCTCCTTAGTGTTAAGAGCTCTATTCCTACAGATTTTCTTGTTCTAAATTCATTTATTCACGTTGGAGGGCGACTTTAATGGATATTTTAATACTCACTTATTACTTACATACGATTTGGTACATTATCGATTTTACCTAATACCATAACTCACCGTGTACCTCCATGTAACTAAATATGATTCACAAATTACGTCGCTAGGGTGCAGGCTGTTTCGTCAGCGCCTTTGCTTCTAGTGTTTGATGCAACCTTTTTGTCTAGAAGTGGAGCCACATACTAAAAGTATTTAACACGTAATGATTTGACTCGCTAAGTGTTGTGGGTCCGATCCTCAATTGGGACGACACTTTGTGTGATCCACAAATTGTTGTTTCGAGTCTGGGTGTTATTTGTGTCCGTTTCATGTATGTTTAAGTCTCCCGCGACACATGATATATTCTTAATGCAGAGTTTTCTTTTAAAGTTAAAAAAAAAAGATCTACGGTTATATACCGTTTGGGCAGTCCACGGGATCAGATGATATACAAGTCCCTCCCTATGAACTCATATCAAAATGAATGTCACATTTAACATGATGTGTCCCGCGACAGGGCGATGGCGTTGAAAGCGCGGCGGCCCGGCAGGCGCGCACGCGACGCCGCGCGTTGGCGAGACGCGCGGCTGCTGCGCGTTTGCGCCCCGGCACGCCGCCGCCCGCACCAGGCCGTCGACACCACCCCATACAGACCGAGTACTACTTGGAGGAGGTAACGCCACTCAATTTGTTCGTACTGGTCAAATAGATAAACGTAACTACTGCCAGTTCACTTTAGTTAAACAACAAATATGCCTGATGATAATATGGATATATAATAACGACTAAGCAGTTCTAAATGTGGTTACACCCACTTGGGGGTGTGCCCCAACTAGCAGTGGGCAGCAGCTTCGTCCGCCGATGATCGATATACGTGGCTACCATCTAGGAAGTTTCACATCCAAACCGTGGCGCTTATCACGGGCTTGTGCTGCGCTTCCACTTCAGTCCAGCTCTTTGTGTTAGTGTTACGATAAACTAAAATACCTCATAACATTACCACTAACGTGATGCTTACCTCGACATGCTCAGCAAACTAAAATGAGTTTCACTACCAGATGGATACAGTTCAGGCCCTAATCCTTTCCTTTCCTTGATTGCGTAGCTGTTCGACAAGGGCACGGAAATGGAGGTGGGGGTCCAAACAGATCTATTCGTGGACCGGCCCGCCACGCCCGTGTACGTGCCCGCCAAGACCGGAGCAGATGCGTTCACGCAAATATATCCCGGAGACGTGAGTTACACACCATTTACCATCTCCTTATAAAGAATGACTGCGGATGGCGTAGTGGTTTAAGTGGTCGCCACGCCGCTTCCTACTATGCCGAGTGTTGTGGGTTCAAACCCCACATGGGACGACACTTTGTGTGATCCACAAATTGTTGTTCTGAGTCTGGGTGCTCTTAGTATCCGTTTCATGTATGTTTGTAAAGTCCCCCGCGACACAGGATATATACCTAATGAGGGCGGTCTTTTTAAAATAAAAAAATGAAATTTTTTGCTCAATAGTACGACCCTTTATTGTATCCGTGAATCAATTACCTTCATAGGTACGAAGTGAATGCTTACAGCGATCATCTGTAGTGAGCTAGTCAGTAACGCAAAAATATCAGAGTTTTTCTGTTGATGGGGATTTTCTTGACAATGTCTAGTGTGGAATGATTCTGTACGAACCCAACTAATTTTCCCAACCCAACTATGTTAAAACTCCATTTAGCAAACATTAAGCAATATCGTGAATTGGTGCTGCTGCACATCGAGTGCTGCTTAGAATCAATAAAATTTTGTTTGAGACACTAGTTAAGAAGAAAGTTTCAGATAAATAATAAAATGATGATGTATTGGTAGCTATTCGACTTCGATCTGGAGGTGCAACCTATACTGGAGGTGCTAGTCGGGAAGACGACGGAGCAGGCGCTGGCCGAGGTGGCTCAAGAGGAGGAGTTGGCCACGTTACGGGAGCAACAGCGGCGCTATTGCGAGCTCAGGGACGCCGAGCTCGCGGAGAGGCAGCGCCTGGCCGCGCAGGACCTACGTCTGCACCAAGAAAAGGTTTACAATTTACATAATATATATGGATAACCTTATTTTCTCTTGCCTATTTCTTATCTCCTGTTAGTTAAAAAATTTAGGCTATTTTCAGGGTATGTTAACCGCTAATACAAAATGAGTTTTCCCTTTATGTCAATATTTTTCGAGTATTTATGTCATTTATTAATTCTAAAATTTGAACGTAGTTCATTTATTTCTATAGGTATGTATGCATATATGTATAGGTATACTCGTATATATAATATACACACATACATAATATGTACACTCTGCAGCTATCTAGTGTCGATATTGGTACTGTTGGTAATATCTTCTTTAAAAAAAAGACTGTGTTGCATTTCAAAGTGAAAAAGTCGTAGTAAGTATTTATTAGTGGTGGGTGGTGTAACGAGTGATGTGTTGCAGGAGCGGCGCGTGGCGGAGGCGCGCGTGGCGCAGATCGCGGCGACGGAGGCGCGCGAGAGGGCCGCCGCCGCAGTGCTGGTGCAGGGCTACGTGGCGGAGCTGCTGCCCTCCGTCCTGGCTGGCCTGCGCGACCAGGGATACCTCATGGAGAGGATCGAGAGGGGTAAGTGCGCTTACGACATTGTCTACATTCACGACGGTCTCCTTAAACGAAATGTTTAATGATGTTTTTGCATCAGGTATCGACGAGGAGTTCATGCCTTGGCTCGTAGAAGAGGTGTCCAGCGAGATCGAGTCGATTGTCACCAGCCGCGACGTCATCACAGGTACCTCAACAATTTAGTAACGATTTACGAGTTAATGCACGGGATTTTATAAGTACCTCAATATCCTACCTACCTAATCGGCACAGGTGGGCTCGAGAGCCAAAACTATGTTTCTAGTACACTTATTTGTAAATGTACAATGAAACATCCGTATACACTTGAAGCGAGTGACCTGCAACAAGCTACACCAACATGGTGTACACGCATTTTGAATGGATGGCAACCACTCGTGATTCTATTCCTGTAATTATTTAAACTTATTTTTAAAAGTAAATAAGATATGTAAAGCATATCGGAGGAGCAATTGTAGCATCATTACATGTAATATGAAAACATTCAACGCTAAAGACCAAATATTCCCACTGAAAACCCTGGTTTCAGACATATACAAAAACCTTACACCCTTTTCAAGGTTAAGGTTAAGGTTAAGGTTAACTCGTGAGTCCTTCACTCGCACGTCAGTGGACAAATGGTAGCGGTTTTCCAGACAGTGTGCGTAATGTAGCTTCTGTATCATTGCAGAGATTGTGCGCGACGTGGTGGAGGCCCGAGGCGAGCTGTACCGCAGCGCTGGAGAACGTGAGGCGGAGCGCGTCGAGCCCGAGGAGTCTGTCACGCTGGCCTCGCTCGGAGAGGAGGAGGAGGAGGAGAACAGTTAGTACACGCCTCTTGTCATGTCTAGTATTTCACTAAAACCATTTTGTCAGTTTTAATAAGGCTTTGAAAATGCAACTTATTTATCATTATCAGGTGACTTACGCAATTCAAATGTCAACCTCTAGTTGCCAGAATAAGTTCCACCTGAATTCATTGTCTTCTATCCCATTGTATTTGAGTGTTATCGATGTTAAGGGTAGTTTATTATTATTTTAGGTTTTTTAAAGACAACTCGCGCTTTAGGAATTCTAGGAATATATCTTGTGTCACGGAAGACTTTATAAATACTTATGTAACGGACACATAAAACACCTGGGTATTCTGTGGGTCCATTAGTCTAGACGCAGAACAACAATTTGTGGATCACGCAGTGATCACCATGTGGGGATTGAACCCACAACACTTAGCGCAGTACGAAGCGAAGTAACCCCTTTACGTACGTTTACGTTCATTAGTACTTTACGTCTCGCATCCAGCTCCTGCCAGCCATCTTGCGCAAATCGTCACTCCACCTGGCCTGTGGGCGTCCTACACTACGTTTGCCGAGACGCGGTCTCCACTCAAGAACTCGTTTTCCCAACGGTTATCGGTTCTGCGGCTAATATGGCCAGCCCACTGCCACTTCAGCTTTCTGATCCGGTATGCTATGTCGGTGACCTTGGTTCTCTGCCGGATCACCTCATTTCTGATGCGATCCCTTAGAGAAACGCCGAGCATAGCCCTTTCCATAGCACGTTGAGCGACTTTGAACTTGTGGACCAGCCGTACCGTAAGTGTCCACATTTCAGCTCCGTATGTCATGACGGGTAGGATGCACTCATTAAAGACTTTCGTCTTAAGGCACTGTGGGATCGACGATGAGAAGACTCGACGTAGCTTCCCAAACGCTGCCCAACCCAACCGAATTCTTCTGTTCACCTCGTCCTCAAAGTTGTTTCTACCTAACTGCAATGTCTGCCCGAGGTACACATAATTTTGAACAACTTCGAGAACGTCACCGTGTACCGCAATCGGTTCCGGTAGTACATGTTCGTTGAACATGACCTTGGTTTTATCCAAGTTCATCCGTAGGCCGATGCGTACAGAAGTGTCAGCTAAGTCATTCAGAATTTGCTGTAGGTCCTGCAACGTCTCTGCCATGATGACGATGTCATCTGCAAATCGCAAGTGAGAGATGTATTCGCCATTGATATTGATGCCACGCCCTTTCCAGTGCAGCGTCTTGAACATGTCCTCCATTGCATTTGTGAACAATTTCGGGGAAATAACGTCCCCTTGTCTCACTCCTCGATGCAATGGTACGAGCCTTGTTTGCTGATTCTGTACGCGAAGTTCTGGATGCGAGAAGCCCAAAATCGATCTAAGTGGCGTGCAATGGGAGAGGCCTATGTCCAGCAGTGGACTGCGATAGGCTGACGATGAAGTACTTTACGTCTTCAGTCTATTTGATGTCGTATCGAGGGCCGGTTCAACCTGTCGCATCAAACCCCTCTGCCGCCCTCTCTCCCGCGACACGGCACGCCACACTTGGTGCGATTCGCGCCACCTCGCACGTGCTCGCTGTCGCGGCGCGTTAGACACGGCGCACGCTCTCATTACATCGCGATCTGCCTGCTATTAGTGGGTGCACCGCACACCGACACACTATTCTTTTATTGCTGTGACACTCAGAACAATTTGACACTCTCTTCACCATCGAATAAGGATCAGATTACAATGACAAGGGCGCAGTCCACCCTGCCGCACCGATACGCAGAAGGGGATGTAAATAATGCGTTTGGCTCCGCGGTCGCGAACAATTAAGATTGATTCGGTGTGATGATACTATAATAACGTTTTGATGCGGGGCGCGTTTGTATGAGTTAGTTAAGAGCATTAGTTATTATGTTTGGTTACAAGTGACGCGGAGTGGTCGCACGTGCAGCGCCCCGAACATCGCGCGACTTCACCAACACGCACTAAACACTAAACCACACTTCTCAAGTGTGTCGTAACTTTTAATCCCGCTATACTCCTATCTGTGTAGCTGCGTAGCTCGTTTTAATATTCGCGTAGCATCAGTTAATTTCAACTGAGCTACTACGACGCAGTTGAAATTTACTTAATATCATCATCATGATTTTAGGGAAAAACGTAAAAAAGTAACTTGTTGTTTGGTGTCCTTGTTGTTTATAAAGCTCAATAACCAAAATAATAACCAGATCTGCAAAATGATGCACCTCTATGTGTGATCAAACGCATTCACAATTTTAATTCAAATTATTCATTATCGCCAATCAAGAGAACCACCAGAAACATAACATCAAGCAAAGACATTTAAAAGCTCTCGCAAGGAACAATATTTACGTGACTAATTGGCATAGTTTTTGGGGATGGTCATGTACACGGTGGGGCAATAGATCCTGTTGGCAAGTTGCAAGCTGGTGCCTCGCGCGCGGCTGTCGTCAATTTACAACGGAGTGGCGCCATATTGCGTGCGCCACGTGCCTCCGCGCTTGCGCACGCGCTGCACCTTACACCTATACTACTAAAAATAAAATTTGGCCCGCGTTACTTAATATAAACCGTTCTAATAGTTAAGAGTTATTAACATTGGTTTCGTAATATTATCGACTACAGCAAACAAATTTAATGTCATGCTACGTTTTAAGAAAAAAAAATTAATAAAAGGTAACATAAGTATTTATAAAACGCAAAGAACTTAACGTTTAGTCAGTAGTTTAATTTAGTTATCAAGAAGGTAACTGAACTATTATATTTTTGTCATAAAGAAATCATTTTAATGTCTTGTTTTTAATTAAATTTAAATTTAGCAACCATCACTGACAAGTGTTGCATTATCGCGTTACTAGAAAGTTAGAAAGGATTTGTGATCAACATATGGTTGAGACTTGCGAGTATCGCAGCAAAAGTGTAATGTGTTTATACAATATTTATAGAGTACCTCCAGTAAATTCAATTTGGGGGGACAAGTAGTGTGTTGTGGTGTATGCGGAGTGCACGTGCACTGATCGAGTGCCTGATAACGCGCGGTATCGCGGATCGAGCAGATTTTAATTGAATCGGTTGCGATAAGGTACGGCTGGCATTATCGTGCCCGGCGGGCGCCGTACGCTGCGGCGGCGCTGCGGGGACACTACACTGGCGCTTTTACACACAACATTAGCTAAATGACACCATTGACCCTCCGAAAACGTAATAAAATTATTCAGCAAGCTCTGTCAGCAACAAAGTTAAGAATTATTAAATTTATTGGTTGATGTCGAGATTGTACTTTTGTACTATACTTGCATATCGCCATTTTGTAAACTTAACGGTCCTGAATTCAAATTCGATCATTATTGTCTAATAAAAATACTGACAAAATGAATGAAAAAAAAAACAATATTAATCAATTAATATTTTTATTTATAATATCAAAGCTCTAATAGAGATAGTATAGTAAAAAAATAATAGATTTGGTTGCCGATCATTAAACAGTATTGTGTTTTTCTGCATTATTGTAGTAACTATTTTTTTAAGTTTATCTAATTATAATGCCATGCTCCTATTTCCTCGTTTCTTGATGCATTAATCGAAGTCCAAGTTTTTTTTTTAATTTTGTATACCTACGCACCTACCACGGGTTCAAAATCTTTCAGTACGTCGTACGATCGCCAAACCACTCGTAATATCGAGTTACCGTCGATCACCAAGCCCAGCGATATTTTGACAAGAGTCAATATTATTGCAGAGTGTAGAGCTCCTCTGTTCAGAGCTTTTAGATAACAATTAGAAGCAGAGACCATCGCTAATTGTACAGCAATGGACCACCACCACGATTGAAACTACAATCGAAATTGAACTTTGTGCCTCTATCATTAGAACTTGGTTACGGAAGCGAATCGCGGAGCGATGTTTATGCAGCTGTGTTCGCCCCTGATTCAACATTTTAGACATTTTTTATATCGCCCCTGTACAATACAATAATAATGTAAAGAGATTAAATGTTACAATTTAGATCTCAATAGGTACAAGTGCACGAGACGGTGCGGCGAGTGCCCCCATACCGCGACGTGGTGGTTTTAATATTTTGCAAGTATCAATGTCAGAGCATTTCAGCTAGACTATAACTAACTTCCCACCATATTTAATGCAACCGGTACTTAAATTTAACGTCCAGATCGTCGTAATCAAAATCACGTATAAAGTTAAGCAACTAGTAATGAGGATAAAGTCATCGAATGTTTGTTGTAATTTCTAGTGCAACGAAAGTTATCAGCACGACTAAACTAATCATTACAAGAAACATGTGTTTGTTTATGACCCAAGCAATATTAAAACTATGTACCAGTATCAAAACGAATTGGTCGGCGTGTAGCAATCGCCCGAGATCAATGTGGGTCTCGTTTGTTTAATATTTAAATTGAGACCTGTCCACGGAGAGCGCGTAATACATGTTGAACTAATCTCTATATCGTTTGAACAAACAATCGGTGCACTCAGCTTTAGGGTCCATTAAATGAACGTTGCGACTCTCCAATAGATTAAACAGCTTTGGTAATACATGATGACGTATGTATGCTGCTTAATATTCGCAGCAGATAATTGAACACAACCAACGATTGGTATATGACAATAAAATCCACAGTTGATAGATGCGACTCCTTACACACATTACTATCACAGCAGGCTCTGCCTAGCTTAGTATCAAGCGGCCGAGTGTGAAATTATTATAACTAACACGATCCAAATATCAAAACCACAGGAGAACAGTCTGTAACGGCTTGAGGGTAGCTTTTATAATCTAAACTTTAATTTCATCTTAGTTTTATTGATGATACAAGACAAATATGTGTTGTTCATCCTCTGCAGACAAAATAGAAAGTAAATGTATTGAATAGGTACCTTTTTTTTTTTTTTTTTTTTTTTTTTTTTTTTTTTTTTCCGTGCGGAAATCCCCTCGGATACCACCTGTCGGTGGCATGTCGGACTCGAACCGACTAAAACCGCACGCC